GCGCCGTTATCTTCACCTCACATTTAAAGAACCTAGTTAAGAGTTTAGGAGGGGCTGGAGGGGAATCGCGCTCCTGAGCTGGAGTTCACTCGCTTTAATGGCCTAGTAATCTTGTCAAATTGGGACCTTCGCCTATTGAATGCCCAAGCAGTGTAGACACCACTTGGCAGCAGTGCTGAAGGGCAATATGCACTTGTACTCAGAAATGATGCCCATGTCTTGTAAGCCCAGGTGGAAGATCTCTCAACTGTGGAATCTAAATTATGAAAGTGTGTGTCTACGTTGTGCCCACCTGTACTTAAGATCTAAGTCATCTTAAAAACCAGTTTAGGATAACTGCGACAACAGGTTAATTTGCCCAAAGCTTTGGTCACATGCTTGTCACAGCACCTAAGTAGGCAGTTTACCTGCATGGTACTACTTGTAAATAGGTCGCGACTACACCTTAGGAGCTAAACTCCCGCTGCTCCAGATCAGATTCCCGTCAAGTACACCGAAACCCTTAAACTGCAGACCTGCAGGTCATCCCACGCCACACTTGAGAGCCTGCACGTATCTCACTTACCACAAAGGGAGAGTTCAGGACTTGAGTGAAGGCACAGCGCGCCCCGTGCTACTCCGGGAGGAATGCGCGGGTGCACGCGGGCACTAGCCCCACGGCAGAGCCCATGGCATGCCTACCGACCCCCTAAGACAATTCAGCACGGTGGGAAGGGTTGATTCCTACATAATCGCAAACCCCCTGAAAAACTGCCCATCCCCGGCAGCCAGGTGCTAGCCCGGGCCGCCGCCATGTCGCTCGCGGTTAAAAGGGCCGCCCGCGGCAGGGCTGACGGCCCCAGTTATGCGCAAGCACGTGCTCTGGCGCTGCAGCCTGACCCCCGGCGCCACGCACAGGCGCAGCGGGGGCTCAAAGGCAGCGCGTCGCCGACCACACACAGACAACAAGGCTGAGGGTCAAGCCGTTTTTATTGAGGGGTTGGTGGGGAGAGGTTAGTCCAAGAAGCGCCGAGGACAAAGATATCCAACGTCATCGACCGGGCCGGGATCTGCAGTAACGACAATGGGGTGTGGGGTGGAGAGTGAGCGGGTGTGCGCCCGCCGGCCGGCCCCCTCCCAGCAGCGCGGCAGCCGGCTCAGACTC